AGATGTGATTAATCTATCTCTGTTACAGGGATATGTACCTAAAGCTTTTAAGATTGCTGTAATTAAACCTCTGCTTAAGAAACCGTCTCTTGACCCAGATGACTTGGTCAATTATAGACCTATATCCAATCTTCCTTTCTTATCCAAAATTCTTGAGAAAGTAGTTGCCAAACAAGTTTGCGATCACTTCCACCATAATGAACTTTTTGAAGAGTTTCAGTCTGGCTTTAGAGCTCATCATAGCACTGAAACAGCTCTGGTGAAAGTCACTAATGATATTCTCATGGCCTCAGATAATGGACTTGTATCTGTGCTCGTCCTGTTGGATCTTAGTGCTGCATTTGATACAGTTGACCATAATATTCTTTTAGAAAGACTTGAATATTTTGTTGGAATTAAAGGAACAGCACTAGACTGGTTTAAATCTTATCTATCTGATCGAATTCAGTTTGTTCATGTTAATGATAGATCTTCAACACGCTCAAAGGTTACCTGTGGAGTACCACAGGGATCAGTGCTAGGACCAATTCTCTTTACTTTATACATGCTCCCAATTGGTAGAATTATTAGACAGCATGGGATTAATTTCCACTGTTATGCTGATGATACCCAGCTATATCTGTCTATAAATCCAGATGAAGCTAACCCATTACATAGATTACAGGCATGTCTTGAAGACATAAAAACCTGGATGACTCTTAATTTTCTGCTTCTGAATGCAGACAAAACAGAAGTTATAGTCTTTGGACCAGAGTCTCTGAAAAAGAAACTGATTAGCCAGTCACTTCATTTGGATGGGATTAAACTGATTTCAGATAATAAAGTAAAAAATCTTGGTGTTATTTTTGATCAGGACCTGTCATTTAAATCCCATATCAAAGAGGTTTCTAGAATTTCCTTCTTTCATCTGAGGAACATTGCAAAAATTAGAAATATCCTGTCCAGGGGTGATGCTGAGAAACTAGTCCATGCATTTGTTACTTCAAGGCTGGACTATTGTAATTCTTTACTATCAGGAAGTCCACAAACTGTAGTTAAAAGCCTTCAGCTGATCCAAAATGCTGCAGCCAGAGTTCTAATGAAAATGAAAAAGAGAGATCATATCTCTCCTATCCTGGCTTCTCTTCATTGGCTTCCTGTTAAATCAAGAATAGAATTTAAAATCCTCCTTCTCACATATAAAGCCTTAAATGGCCAAGCTCCATCTTATATCAGAGATCTGATTGTTCCTTATGTTCCTAACAGAGCACTTCGCTCTCAATCTGCAGGTTTACTAGTGGTTCCTAGAATTTCTAAAAGTAGAATGGGAGGCAGATCTTTTAGTTATCAGGCTCCTCTCCTGTGGAACCAACTACCAGTTTTAGTCCGTGAGGCAGACACCCTGTCTACTTTTAAGGCTAGGCTTAAAACTTTCATTTTTGATAAAGCTTATAGTTAGGGTGGCTCAGGTTATCCTGAGCTATCTCTATAGTTATGCTGCTATAGGCTTAGACTTTTGGAGGACATAGGGACCCCCATTTCATCATTCTGCTTCATTCTCTCTCTGTTCTCCTATTCTGCAGAATCTGTTAGTTCAATCTCTAACCTTCTGCTCTCTCTGCTTTTCCTCAGAGTAGCTTTGCCTCGTCTGTTCCTGTTTGGCTGTGACGTCATCCTGGAAAAAAACATCAGCTGTGCTGCTTCTATCAACACCCTTGTTAATAGATGTTGGAGATCGGCCTGTTTTCCAGTGTGGTCCTGTTTCTCTGACCGTGACTGGCTGGATGTGCTCTCTTCGTCCTCTGGCATGGGAGCTGCCTTGGAGCTCGTCTGCCTGGCTGCGTGTTTCCTGGACGGGGCCGCCTTTTACAGCTGCTTTTTGTATCTCTGCTTCTGTCTCCTTGAACCCCAGTCGGCCTCGGCAGATGGCCGCTCACACTGAGCCTGGTTCTGCTGGAGGTTTCTTCCTGTTAAAAGGGAGTTTTTCCTCTCCACTGTCGCTACAAGCATGCTTAGTGTGGGGGATTGTATTTGAGTCAATGAGTCAATGCAATCAACTGGTTTTCCTTAGATAGAAAACTTTGTATCAATTTGACTGTATGATCTGGTTGAACTGTAAAGTGCCTTGAGATGACATGTGTTGTGAATTTGGCGCTATATAAATAAACTGAATTGAATTGAATTTTTAAAAACCGAGGAACAATGAACAACTACTGCGAAAGGTTAATAGAGGAGTTTTGAAAGTACAACCACATGTACGATGCCTTAGACAAATTATATAAATAAATATATCCTTTTCTATGTCTAGCAATTCTAGGTCCATCTCCGTGACATATTGCAGACGCGCCATTGTTGTTTTGGAAGATAAACACTCCCACTGGCGCCGACCAAGTTCTCATGACCATCCACCGAAGTTTTCGAGAGTTCTCGAATAAGCTCCCCCATGCGCTGTGGCAGGAAACTTCCGTGCGTCCCTAGAAATTCCAGACCAACGGTGCAGAAGCATACCAGCTAAACTGGT